CGTCAAACCGAAAAGCAAATTGAGGAAACGGGTAACACACATCCCGGCTCCTGCACAGACAATGTGAGGATGTAAGAGGCTGTTTGCTGATTCATAAATCATTCGGGAAGGATTTCTGCATCGTGTGTTTGTTTCCCACCCTTACGCCTGTTCCGGAACAGGCACCAGAGGTTGAGCAGCGCGTGAAAATTAACTGACACCAAAATGTTTAATTTTCAAACACGTTGAGATGGAAAGGGACACGCCGGGAAGACGACAGCAGCAGCAGGGACCTACGCGCGGCGCGGAAGGCGTTTTGTGTTCAGCAGCTGGTTAAACAGATCAGAGGCCAACACCTCGGGCGGGTGGAGAGAATTCTTTATTTTGTGCGGGAAGGCTCAGGGTTAATCAACATTAACAAATGACCGATGGCTTCCAGAGACTCTTGCTGGGGAAGTTGTTTCACCAGGTCGAAGGCTCTCCTCCCCATCTCCTCAGCCTGGATCGAAACAGAAGAAATCCCAGGTAACTGTCAGGAATTTGGCTTTTCTCAAGGGGCTGTTAAACACCCGCAGAGGCTCCTTGGAGGAGCTGCACGGGAACAGCTCCGGGCCCCAGCCGCCGTTCCCGAGGGTGACCTGCACAAGCGGCTTTGCAGGAGAGAGAAAAGCCGCCGACAGAGACCAGAGACGGGCTCCAGCGGTGCAGACAGGAGAGATTACTGTCCCCAGCCCCCCGCATGGGAGATTGTCACCTCCCGTCCATCCAGCAGCTCATTCAAACCTCCCGGGCGAGGACAGGCTGAGAGAGTTGGGGGTGTGCAGCCTGGAGAAGAGAAGGCTCCGGGGAGACCTTCCAGCACCTCCCAGTGCTGAAAGGGGGCTACAGGAGAGATGGGGGGGCTCTGGATCAGGGGGTGCAGGGACAGGACGAGGGGGAACGGTTTGAAGCTGCAAGAGGGGAGATGGAGATGAGATGTGAGGAAGAAATGTTTTCCTGTGCGGGGGGTGAGGCAGTGGCCCAGGGTGCCCAGAGCAGCTGTGGATGCCCCATCCCTGGAGGGGTTCAAGGCCAGGCTGGATGAGGCTTTGGGCAACCTGGGCTAGTGGGAGGTGTCCCTGCCCATGGCACGGGGTGGCACTGGGTGGGCTTTAAGGTCCCTTCCACCCCAAACCATCCTGGGATTCTACCATTCCCAAAGCTATTTCAGGAAAAAAACCAAACCAGCTGTATTGACTCTGAACAAAACCCCTCCTTTCCCTTGGTGGCTCTTCCAGGGATCAGACATCCTCACGCTTACAGAGCTTTGCTGCATTCCCAATTTGGATTTGTTTCTTTGTGTCTTCCCAACACTGACTCACACCATGACGCCTTTCTCTGATGGGATGAAGAGACCATCAGCCATCTGTATTTTCACCCTTCAAAGCACAGCCAGAAGAAACTCTCCAGCGCTCAGCCCAGACAAAGAGCCCTGATTTCCAGATGGTCACTGCTCAGCACTTCCCCAGAATCAGTTATTTTGAGGCAGAGAATTGGGCACTCTAAAGTTAGCAGTCACAGCTGAGATTCTGAGCCATAAAAACACCAGGTTGCAGATTCAAAACGGAATTACAGGGTCCCACAGAGCGAACCTGCGTTAACATCGGGGTCATTACCGGAGCCTGGCTCCAGGAGAGGCACGAGCGAGGCGGGTGGCCACACCGCCCGGACAGCCCAGAGAAAGGACCGAGCCAGAAAACGGGGATAACTGCAGGATCCGCGCGGATGGTCCGGCAGCGACCACGCCAGCCCCAGCGGGATCAACTGGAGCGCCCATTGCAGGGTGGCTCCACGCAGAGCTGCGGCGGTGGCTCTGTCCTCGGTCACCCCGCGCTCCACGGCTGCTGCGGATTCAGGACGGGGGCAGGCGAACACCCGCAACCAGCTGCACGGGATGGGGTGAGCACCGAACCAGAGCTGGTAGCACTCCGGGATCCCCCAAAGCCGACCCTCACCTTGGGTAAATCCGCGAGCAGGTAGTAAAGCATGGCGAGAGCGTGCAGAACGCGGGCGGTTTCCCCGGGTTGCTGCTTTGGTTCCTGTTCTCTGACGTCTAACACCGCCTTCAGCACCTGGATCGCTTCTGCTCGCTGGGCGTCAGCTGCAGCAAGAAGGAAAGAACCTCGTTGGACGTCTGTGTGCAAGATAATATATTCAGAACTGTCCAATTATCTCCTCTAGACATCAAAGCGTTTCTCCTGCAAGCATCCATGTGGTATCCCAGCTCCATGCAAATTCCATCCCCCTCCGCAGCTATCTTTTCATCCCGTCAGTAATTGCGTTGATGAGCCTTTAGTGAGGATGCGGAGTCAGAACAGCCGCGGGAAAAGGGCAACTTTCCCCCTCCCGTCTGAACCGGCGATGGTATCGCGCAGCCCGGGATGGAGGCGATGCCGGGGAACGGGATTTACGGAAAGGTTTCTCTGCTCTGACAACATCCTGATCAGCGCAGATGGTAGAGGGAAGACAAGCAGCAGGGTCTAGGCTGAGTTCAGGGGCAGCACCACGCACGCCGTGTGTTTCCTAAAGCTTTATGCACCTCGATGTCCCGGGGCGAGATTCCCCAGCTGCTCTCTGGAGAGTATTCTCCAGGTTAACGCGCCCCATTGCCAGCACACATTATTCTATTCAGCTTCAGGAGGTGGAGTTGTGCACCTCCCTAAGTGAGATGAAATGTCATTTCCACGTAATGAAATGGAGACAAAGGAGCTGCAGAAAAATGAGAACGTTGGAGTGGAATTGAATCCTGCAAAGCCAAACCCTGTGTTGGTACAGCCGCTGCCAAGGAGCACGCAAACACACGGGGCAGAGCTGTTTCCACGCAAACATCCTCATTCCTCAAGCAGCCTCCTTGGTTTCATCCAGCGCCATCCGCTGAGCACCAACAGCACAAATACCCGTGATTCCCACTAAATTCGGTCTACAGAAACGCCGCACAAAACCCAACGCCGTCAATACGAACAGTGGGATGTGCCGACTATTTAAAATTTCATCTTCCGAATGGTTCTGCGCAATAGTGGGGCTTACTCAGACCGTCTTCACCGACTTCCTCGTCCTCGGTGGATGGAGACGTTTCTGGTCGTGACTTGAGGATCTGCTCCCGAGCGTGAAGTGCCTGCAGCAGCGAGGCATGCCAGATGCCGGTTACCTATCAGGAAGCAGATGAATTATTTCACTCCTATGAATACCTGGTATTTAGCTGTTCCATAAACAATGTGTCCTGCGGTGCGTGTCGCTGCCGCAAGAACCGGGTGCCGGCTGGCGGGCTGGGGGGTTCACGGGGAGGCGTGACAGCTCTTCTCCCGGTAGCTGGAAGCTCATTTCTCTATCAGATTATTCATTTCCACCAAACAAATCTAACCAAATCGTTACCCCAAAGCAAATCGGGCTGCAGTCTGCAAGGGGAATGGTGGCAGATGGCACAGAAGCTCCATTTCCACAGAAAATCAAGCTCAAGAAATGAAAGTTCATTTTTTTTTTTCCCCAGTTATTAGAGCAACTAGATAATCGTTCCTTCCCTTCCTTGATCATTCTGTTCTGACAATCTTTCGTCCATGTGACTTTTCACTGATTCTCGTCCGTATCCCGCTGCCGCTCAGCAGCTCTGCCCTGGCCATGGAAACTCCTCGGTGACCTTCTCCTCCGGTGGGATTCCTTCACCTCCGTTGCGGGGTATTTGGTGACAAAGCTATTTTCTAACGAGGTTTGGCTGCCCGGATTGAAGACGACTTGAATAACAATTTTTAACCGAGTACAGGGTTAATGTCTCCTGGTTTTAACTCAGAGAAATATTGAAGGGTGAGAAGGGTTTCTGGGGTTGATCCTAAAGCAATGTGGACACTAGATGTGGTGTCATCATATCAAAGGGAATCAGAAACAGGAAAAACACTGGAAAGAGCACAGAAAAAACCAGAGAAATATATAGAGGATGGCCTTTGGTTTTACCAACCTTAGCATAGAGTGAGTTCGCTACATCCATCTTGTTCTGACGCAAAAAAATATTAGCCATGTGGAAATACCCTCCAGAGGTCTCAATAGATTTTACTCCAAACGTAGAACTAGCAAGGTAAACCTGAAATTAATATTAAAAAAAAAAAAAAGCAGAAGTTTAATGTTCATATCAAACCTGGGAAATTTTTCTTTAGGGAACAATAATATCACAAGCATTCCCTTTTTTTCTGTGTAACTGTCGTGTTAGCTGATGATGACTGTGAAGTGTGGCAGTAAAAAAGCGGCATTTGGGGTTTTTCCAAAGGAACACGACACCCCAAATCCCCTCATGGCAACGTGTTACCCTGCTGAAGCACAGGCAGGTCCCCCATCTCCTCCTCCCCTGTGCAACCCCTATGTCTCCTCTCTCCGCACACCCAACCCGCTGCCGCCCAG